TGTGAGCAGGCTACAACAGCTAACTAATCAGGAATTCCAACAAAAGCCCAGAGCGAAGGACATCAGCAAGGAATTGTACGATAGGAAAAAGAAGATGGTCTGGTTACGTGACAAGAATAGGAGATGACAGATGGTTATAGTGCCCTACTGGTGCCTTTAAGGTATTAAGAGAAATCAAAGACTGCCAGCAGTAATAAATGCTTGTTGACTTACTGATATTGGCTGGAGCCCACTGGTAATTTAGAGAAGGACATGGACGAGAGTCACAGGAGATGGGCAGGCATGGGTAGTAGGCAATCTGCATTATTGGAGAGTACTCTTGAACCGATCAACTCAAATCCATTTCAGTATTTCATTTTAATACATATTTGTATAAATGTGTTTTTATGTTAATATAAATGCTAGTAGAAAGGAGACAGTGGTCAAAGAGTATGAACAGTTTAGTTATTTTTACTTGCATATTTCACATTTGATATCTGGAACAGCTGGGCCAACTTACAATTCCAGCAGTGTCTTGGTTTACCTTCATTCTCACAGCCATTCAGTTATTGACTGGTCTTTTTTTTTGTCATTTTTGCTAGCTTGAAGCTGATGAGGTAAAACTTCATGATTTTTATTAATGCTTTTCTCTAATTATTATTGATCTAGAGCATGTTTTCATGTAATCATTTATGCTTAGTTGTTTTTCTCTTGATAACTTCAAATCCTTTGACCCTCCATATCCTCTGCTGGGGAATGCCTCTTGGTCTTAGATGTTGGTGTCAGTTCTCCGGATATCACTGATATTTGATGTAAAGATTTCTTGTTTGGCTTCACCTTCTATTTTGTTTTCATTGGTTTTATTCATACAAAAGCTTTTAACTTTTATATGATGAAAACTGTCTTTCGTTTGGTTAAGATCTTTCCCTCTAGCGTAATGGTATTGAGGTAGCTACCTACTTATTTGGTACTCTGATTTTTTAATAATGTAATCTTTTATATTCATATTACTTATCCATTTGGCACTGTATGTCGTATAAAGGCTTTTTTTATTGCTTCTGGTTCTTATTTAAATAAGCCTATTCTGCTGAATAATTATGATGACTACTGATTTATAATTTTATCTGCTAATGCTGTGCCACTTTCTTTCCTGCTTTATTTTTCATCCTTTTTCTCATTCCAGACAAATAATTTTGTTTAGTAACTAAGGGTATAGTTCTCTGCCAGGTGACAATTTCACCAAGAAGAGTGAAGGATATTCTCTTGCAGTCTCCTCATCTAATGGAGTATCAACTCTGTATTGGCCATTTTTGTTCTGTTCTTTCCTGTCCAAAGGCTATTTTCCTTGGCAGCGAAAACAAAAACAGGAAAAGAATTGAGCAGCTTTGATCTTCTCTGTGGTCACCACTTGACTCTTTATGGCCTGAGAGGGACAGTCCTTTCTTTATTGTTGTTCTGTCCTTCAACCCACTGGATTCATCAAGACCAGTAGACCATTCTGTACATGGGGTTTTCTTGGCAAAGATACTATAGAGATTTGCCATTTCCTTCTCCAGTAGATTAAGGCAAACAGGTTAATTGACTTGCCCAAAGTCATACAGCCAGTGTCTGAGGCCTCCTGACCCGGTGCTCATCTATTCACTGAGCCACCTAGTTCTTTTTTTCCCTATGTCGTTTCCCCAGTGTCACTTTAAAAAAAAATCTGCTTTTTAAAACCCCCTTTTTATTGCCCTTACCTTTCCTTGCCAGACTCAACTCATTCTGAGTGTTTTTAGTGCTCCCAGCGATGTTCTTATGAGCCTCATCTACAGTCTTCTTCTGTTTTCCTGCCCTTGCTTCCATCTTGTCTTTTTTATAATCTACATTAGTTGGCAAGTTCTATTTTCATCCAAACTGTTCTCTTCAGACAGCTCCCCTTTTCTCTTCTTACTGGAGTTTTTTTCTCTTTGTGTCTTCAGAATTTTCATTTTTGAGAACTTCCTGTTCCTTCCTGTTTGACTTTTCCTTGGGATAGTGCCCTAAAGATAGGTGCTCTGTGAAGCTGATACTAGCACTGAGACCTAGAGCAGTTTACATAATCCTGTTATTCAGTTTTTTATCTTCAATTACCTCTACCTTTTACAATTGCGGCAGAAATTACCTTTCAGGGGCAGCTAGGTGGCACAGTGGAAAGAGCACCAGCCCTGGATTCAGGAGAACCTGAGTTCAAATCCTGCTTCATATACATAACACTTACTGTGTGACCCTGCGCAAGTCACTTAACCCCATTGCCTAGCCCCCCCCAAAAAAAGTTACCTTTTAAATAAGAAGCCTTCCATTTTCCTCTCTTCCCTATTAAGAAAATTTCCTAAGCTATTGAAGAAAAGTAGGACACTTAAGGATTAGTACTATTTAAAGGAGAAAATACATGAATCTTATGGAAGCTTGCCTCTCCACTCCTCTTTCTCCTCTCTCACACCCCCTCCCCTACATATTCAAAAAATTTTGTATAGAAGCATCTTTTTCTGTAATATAAGTTCCCAGTTAAATACAATCTAATAAAAAAAAATTCCCCAATGAAAGAATAAATTTTGAAAAAGTAAAAGTGTTCAGCTAAAGGACAGAAACGTATAGTTATTTTCCCAAGTCACTATTTGTTCATAAAGGCTTATTTAGTGGTTAGGAGGACTCTGGACTTAAAGGTCAATGAGTACTGAATCCTGATTTCTTTTTTTAATGGAAAGGAACAGAAACCTAGCCTCTCTCGCTAAGTTTTTGGCCAAGTTATAGTTAGAAATTATTCTTGACTTTTCCTTGGAAGTATAAAGGGGTTGATTTTAAGGAATAGCTCTTTAAAGGACTGCTAGAAAAATACATATGTCATATGCAAGTGTAAAGTATTCATTAGCTTTATAGGAACCTCTGTTCTCTAGAGTTAGTTTTATAGCAAATAGTGGGAATATTGACCTTGGAAATAGTAGGAAATGCAGTGCAAATTTTAGGCATTCTATAGTACATTAGCAACTTTTGGACTTAAGAGGGGTGGAACAAACTATAATTGTGAATCTTTTTAATGACTCCTAATTTAAATTATAGTTCCCCTGTTTTTGAGCTTTTCTTTTGTTTATTGTTAGACTGATTTGTTCTGTTAAAAGTGGATTTTTAAGAGCTAAGAATGGTCTTGTTCAGAATTGGCATAATTCCAGTTGTGTTCTGTTTTGGTTATTTTTTCCCACGTATTTTGACCCCCTGCATAAGAACTGCAGGACCAGCTCAAAACAGCTGGTTTCCTTCAGTATCTTCTTTCCTCCCTGACTGCTGCAGGAGAGGGCTTCCATAGCCCAAGGATGCACACTCCTCTCCCTTATCTTGTCTCACAAGTGATATATGGTCCCCTTTGATTGAATGCAACTGGCTATACTAACAAGGGCACATTCTTTTTATGGTTTCTATGCCACTGGTGATGTACATTCTCCTTAACAAGCATATCTTTTTTCTTTGTATAACTAGCCACAATACTGCGAGCAGCCATTTTTTCCTCTTTGTCTTAAGTAACATATAATATTACCAGCCAAATTATAAGTCATACATGTCTATCCATTTGCTGGTAGAGTGTGTCTCACTCTGGGTGAATAAACTGTACTGATTCTGTTTGTTTTGTGCTGGCTCATTGACATTGGCTAGTAAACAAACTAAAAGAAAATTCATGCAGCAGTTCCAAATAAATGATTAAGGTGTCCCAAACTTGTAAACATTTTATGTTCTAAAGTGAGTTTGTAAGGCAGCTTTTTGGGGCTCAGAATGTATTTTCCCACAACCACAATATTATAAATGGTGATTTGTACACAGGTTTTTGTATAGTAGCCTATTTGCCCCATAATGTAGACGAAGTGTTGTGTTTTTACAATGACGGGAAAAAAACAAAACAAAACAGAAAACCCAGCTACTGTAACACTAGTAGCTAAACCTCTAGGATTCTTTAAAGCCTTTGAGATTTTATTCTTCTGATCAATACAGGAAAGTAATAAAATTAGATTTGAAAGTTTCACGTTTAATCTTGAATCATTTTTTCCCAAAGCAAAAACATGCCTAGCTACTGCAAGTATCTTAGTAGTGGTTAGTTCACATATCTACCCTGAGGGCCAACATTTTGGGAGGCTAGATAGCAGAGGGCAGTCAAAGTGGGCTAATGATGAGCTGTAATTTATGAAGGGGGTACATGGTGGTGTTGAAAGCAAGCCCTTGATTGGCTCTTTTAAGTAAAGCAGGCTATAACCCATATTCCCACTTTGTAGTTGATTGATTATATGCCCTCACTTTGGAGGCCACAGTTCTAAAGTCACTTCCATTGTTGACATTCAGTAGTCTGTGTTGGGTCGAATAGTTCCCTGTTTTTGCCACCAGAGCCCACCATCAACCCAGGATAACTTGGCTGGTGTCAGATCTGGTTTAGAAAGAGGCAAAGTACAGCCAGTTATTCTTATACATGGAACATTTGCCAGTTGTTTGTTTCTTACTTGTAGAGTGCCAGTAAGTCTACTTTTCATGCTGTCTTGTGTTGTTTGACTAATTAAAAATATTGATGATGAACCTGACCCAAAACAACATCTCAAAGTATTACAAATAGATGCAAGGTACAAGTGTCCTTATTTCCATCATGTTTTTTCACTACAAGATCGTGCTACTAAATTAAGTAAAAACTAAATCTCCAGGCCGTTTATATTGGGCTTGCAAAATAAACATAATAATGAGTTTCCAAACAGGTTTATCAATAAAAACAGAAGTGGTATCAAATATTGAAAAGAAAATGTCAATAGCTTAAATTAAAGCTGTTAAAGCTTTAAAATGCACCAGGACTTTTGGGACATTTTGTATTTATCCCCATATTTATGGATGCAGAAACTAGTGCTTAGAAGGGATAGAAAACAAGAAAGTAGTAACTAATATTCTTTTAAAGACAATTTTAAATATGTACTTTAGGGCTTTCATTGGAAATACAGATCATTATATAATCTCCCATATTTTTACTTTTTCTTTTTCAGGAGCTGAAGGAATGCTCAGGTCATGTATTTGTGGATTCTGTGCCTGAGTTCTGTTTACCAGAGGTAAGTCTGAAATTAATTTCAGTATGCTATCCATATCCAGAGAAAGAAGTAGAGTTTGAATGCAGATCAAAGCATACTATTTACTCTTTTTTTCCTTCAAAATGTTTTGTTTTATTTCTTCTTTCTTGATTCACCATCTAGCCACCTCCATCCTGCTTTCTGCTAATTTGGCATTCCTCTAGGATTCTGTGGAATGACTACCATCCTTTTGGTGTTGAGTCCTCCTGAACTACCTTTTTCAAGGCATCATACTGCTTTCTCCTGTATCCCTTGAGATAGAATGCTTATTTGTGAAACATAATGAGACTATTCTCTAATAGTTTAAGTGGTTAAAAGATATGAACAATCTCCTTACCATATGAAAATATTTTCCATACCAGCAGCAAAGATAAAGAAGCAATAGTCAACACTCTAGGGGCTGTGGGAAGACAGGCACATTAATATGCTGTTAATACAATTGTGATTTTTTTCAACCATCCTGAAAACAATTTGGAATCATGTGAGAAAAGTCACTAAACTTTTTCACTTTGACTCAGCAGTCCCACTCTTGGGCATATGTAGGTCAAAAACAGAAGGAAAGGTCTAATATATACCAAGATATTTTTGTAGCGCTTTTTGTAGTAGAAAAAAACTGTAAACAAAGTTGAGTATCCATCAGTTGGGTCAACAAATTTTGGTATGTAATGGAATATTATATCATAAGAAATTATAAGCGTGAAATTATTCAGAAATGTGGAATGAGCTGGTACAGAGTAGAAGAATAATGTATTCTTCTATATTACTTCTATAATACTATAAATGAAAAGAACACTAAAATATAACTGAACTCAGAGTAAATTCAATGACCAATCTTGTCCTGAAAAACACATTTTTCTCCACTTGATAGGAAGATGGGAGATTTTAAAAGAAAAATGAATCTCTGCATTTCAATAGATAAAGCTAATACTAGGAATATTGTTTCAAAGTATTATTGAAGGGACAGTCCTCGGACCTGAGGAGGCTGCTGCCCAATCAACTTATTCCTCTCCCCCCACCTTCATCCTGTTTTTACTGCTCTGTTTTCTCTTGCTCTTCTGATAAGCTTTTGATGCCATAGCTACCATAATAAGGTATTCAGTCTATCAGTAGGTCCTATACTTTGAGCCTTTCAGATTGGTCGGACTCTGAGATATAGATATTTCTCCAAAAATTATTATTACTGGTCATAAATTTTTTTTTGTTTTAATTCCCTATAGTACAACTATACCCAATATAAAATTTTACCCAAGCAATATCATTTTCCATTAATGTTGAGCTATTATAATCAGATTTCACTATAATTCAGAATAACCTCCCCACTTCTGCTAAAACGATAGTGTTAGGTGAGTCATAGGAGACCAGCTTAAATGCTCAACTTCTCATCATCTCTTCTTCATATTTCTGTCTCCACATAGGCTCAGTACATTTTGTATCTTGATGGTGTTACCAGATTAGGCAGGCAAGACAGTTGAGTGGTAAAAGCATGAAGACAGTAAATATTGTTAAGTCCTACTGAAGGCATATGCCTCTTTCCCACTCCCACTTCCCACTCCCAACTGCCTTGAGGAAGTTTGTAAAAGCAGGGGTATGCCAAGCCTTTGGGCAGGTGTGTCCTAACTATCCTTTGTACTATGAGTATAGAGCTAAGTATTTTGACAGAGGGAAAGCAAGAAAACAGATGAGACCTCTGTGCTAAAAGCAGTGAAGTTCTTGGCAGTCCAGGTACCTGACTGCTGTTTACTTTGTTTCTATATTTGTTTCCTAGTGTTAACTTCCTAAGGAAAGGCTCATGCAGTCAGATGCAGCAGTTGACTCAGTGGATAGAATACTGGACTTGAGTCAGGAGGATCTGAGTTCAGATCTGGCCTTACCAACTGTGTGACTGTGGGCAAGTCACTTAACCTTGATCTGCCTCAGCTAATTCAGCTGTAAAATTGGGATCATAATATTACCTATACTCAGGCTCCTGGGGATGAAATGAGATAATATTTTTAAGTGCTTAACACAGTACCTGGCACATAGTAGATATTTAATAAATACTTGTTTCCTTCCTTTCAGGTGCCAAAGGTCTTATGTCCAGAATATACTGAAGGGCTATATAATAATAATTCTGTTCACAGGATAGTAGATAAGTTTGGCTTCACTAGAAAAGAAGTATGGACTAGACAGTGTTTATGAAAGGAGACAGGTGCATTTGTAGAGAGCTTTGAAGTCTGTTATTAGAAGTTTGGTTTGATGAGTTACTAGTCATTCTTGGCATCTGATCATTTTTCAAATACTAGCAGTATCAAAATTAAAGCCCTCTTATTCAAGACTATTTGCCTATTATTCATTTATAAAAATGAGGAATAGCCCCATTGTTTTAGATAAATTCTTAGCAAACTGACATAATTCCAAAATCCTTTTAAAAAATTATTACATACAGATTTTGAATTGATTTTTGGTACCTTCTTGGAAAGCTGGAAGAAGCTTGGTGTGTGGGGAAGAGCACTAGGTTTTAGTCTAAGTTCTGCCATTAATCATCTCTGAGTAGAGGTAGCCTCTCTAATCTGTGTCCTCCTCTGTAAAATGAGAGGACTGGACTAAATGACCTGGCAGTCAGTAAACACTGAGCACCTACTATGTGCTAGGCACTGTGCTAAGTGTAAGGATACAGAGAAAGTCAACAGACAATCCTTCCTCTCCGGGAGCTACCCTGTAATATCCAAAACAGCTATGTACCCACAGAGTATAGAGAGGATAAATTAGTGATGTCTCAGGGGAAGGGCATTAAGATTAAGGAGGACTGGGGAAGAGCTTATTGCATAGGGTAAGACATTAGCTGAGGCTTGAAGGAAGCCAGGGAATTCAGGAAGTGGAAAAGAAGGGAGAGAATATTCCATTTATGAGTCAGTGAAGATATCTGGAGTTGAGAAATGGAGTGTCCAGTGAGGAACAGCCAGGAGGCCAATATCGTAGGATTGCAAAGTATCTGGAGAGGAGTAAAAGGTGTAAGGCTAGAAACATAGGGAAAGGCCAGGTCATGAAGGGCTTTAAAAGCCATGCCAGTATTTTCTGTTTGATCCTGGGGTGTAAGAGAGAGCCATTGGAATTTATTGAATGAGTGATGGGGGCGACACGTTCAAATCTGTGCTTTAGGAAGATCTTCACCTGTTCATGGAAACTATATTCTAATTAGAATCATATCTCAACTTGTAGAATAGCTACATTCCATTATTAGTGATCTTGTCTCACCATATGATGAAAATATTGGGAAATGTCTAAAACCTAAGGGAAAAAAGTGGCTCAGGAAGGGCTTAGCCATAGTTTTGCTTTTTGAGGTATGAATTACTCCATGTTCTGACAACGTCGTTTTTCAGCCGCTTCATGATGATCTGTGCTGCTTCAGTAGATATGCATCATCCTATTCCTCCCTGCCCCCCCTTTATTTGCAGACCGAGCTAATAGATCTGTCTACAGTAGATGTGATCCTCATTTCAAACTATCACTGCATGATGGCGTTACCTTACATCACGGAGCACACCGGTTTTACTGGGACAGTGTATGCTACAGAACCTACTGTGCAAATTGGCAGGTGAGCGCCATGTATTTACACTTTTAGCCTGTTAAACACACCTTAGCCTCAGTATCACATATTTCATGTAGGTCTCTCCCAGGAGAGACTTTAGTTCAGTGATGAATAACTGAAACGAAGGTGTAAGCAGACATGGAAATTTTCAATGGAATTCCCCCAGGACTGATGCTAGGAATCATCTTATGTGACAGTTAGAGGAGGGAGTACACACTTTCCTCAGGGAAATGACATTAAGCTTCTCTGGTTAGTGAAATGCCAAGCCATAAGGAGAAAACTTCAGAGGATTTGTCGGTAGACTCATGGACGGCTGATAAACTTCACTATAAGGGAATATCAAGAATTTTATTGAGAGGGAAAAGAATCCAAGCTACATAACCTCTTTTACCTGAAGAATACCTCCCTTTAGGTTTTACATTTTACCATTAAAACAGGAGGCGGTATGGAGAGAGCAGAGAGTAGGGTAATGATGCAGCTAATTTGTTGCTTCTGCTGTGACAGTGCAACTTTGTGCTCTGGGGTATGAGAAGTGCTTAAGAAGGTTTTTTAGTTTGAGCATTTTCCTACTTCTCTCAGTTGCTTTAAGCTACCAGCGTTATTTGTGGTGTTCAACTACTTGGAGAACTGTGGTATAGTGGAAAGAGCAGCTAATATGGAGGCAAAATATCAGAGTTTGATTCCTGTTTAAAGTCAAAACCTTGGAGCAATTTGCCTGACCCCCTGAATCTCAGGGTGAGAGGTACTAGACTCTCATAAACCAGCAAAGCCATCTGGCAGTCATAGATTGTTCCTGAAGATACAAACCTTTTGCATCCCTGTGACCAAGTGACCAACCAAACCATATCGTCGCTATCAAACGCTATTGCATCTCTTTCTTTTGATGTGTCTATTCAGTTTTAGTCACTACAGTTAGAGAAAGGAGCAACTCTAAAGAATATTCAGTGAAGAGCAAGTAAAATGAACAGAGAGTGGGGCGACTTTTCAGAAGGACCATTCAGTCTGGATGGATGAAGTATTAGGAGGGAAGCCTAACTGAAAATCTTAGAATAGTAGAAATAGAATCTGTCTTTAAAGCTTGAAAGAAACGGTTTTAGGAGGAAAAGGAAGTTTTACTTTATTCAACAGATATTAATGTACTCACTTTTTAAGAAGTAGCACAGGCTGATACATAAGTACAGTAAACATTAATAGTTCACCAAGGAAAATTAGGAGTATTTTGGGAATATTAGGGACTTGTGAATATTAGATCCCTAATCTTACACAGTTGACATCATTGAAGGTAATTATTCCCTACACAAGCTTTCCCTTTGTGTCACAGCAAAGACAGCTTCCTGGTTTGGATGAACATTTGGGCTAGCGTAATATAGCATTTCTTGTGTTCTTTTGTTACCCATTCAGGCTTGAGGTTTTCAAGGCTTTTTCTATTTAGTTTCTTTTATTAATCTATTAGTGTCAGTCTCCACAGCACTTAGTTCTGCACCAAATTCTGCTAACTCCTAGTAACAAATTTTAAAAATCAGTGATCATCACAGAGTAGCTTCATATTTTGCAAATCTTGTAAGTGTTGTTTTGTTTTTAGCTTGAAAAATTTCCCCACATTTAACTTCCTATATAAATTATCATCTCATAATTCCCTTTTTGTTTTCTCAATAAACCTCTTGAAAGTCAGGATTACAAAATATTTGGAGCATATTAAACTGGCTATTAGACGTTTTAGTAACACAGACAAAGACAAGGGTTCATCCAGCCTGGTTTTAGAGATTAACCAAACATTAATTTTCAGATTATTTTTGCACTTTTTTTCATAGAATTTTAAAGTTGGAAGGAATCTTGGAGATCGTTTAGTCCAACTTTCTCATTTTCTTACTAAGAAAAAATGAGTTCCCCAGCTAGAAGTGGTGAAGTCACTTGCTTAATGTCACAGAAAAAGGAAAGAGTTTTGATTAAGTTGGTGTAAAATGTCACCAGCTTTATATACAGCAGAGATGATGATGAAGGGCAACAAAATTCAATTAGAATAAAATACTAAAGGACAGTATTTTATTTATCCTCTTTTTTTTTTTTAAACCCATAGGCTTCTTATGGAAGAATTAGTGAATTTCATTGAACGGGTGCCAAAGGCTCAGTCTGCCTCCTTGTGGAAGAATAAGGAAGTGCAAAGGTAAGAAACAGCGTAGGCTTTTCATACAATAATTGAACATTCAATTCAATAGATATTTATTAGGGAAATATATGTAAAGCACTTTGTTAGGCACTAGGAATATAAAAACAAAAGCAATCTCTGCCCTCAGTATATTACATTATCATTATAATATCAATCACATTCAGACAATTCATTTGTCTAGGTTATTTTGTGCTTTGTACAATACGTTTTTTTTTTCTCATTTGAGAAATCTTCATGGTCTTATGAGGTAGGGAGTACATATATTATTACCCTTGTTTTACAACTGAGAAAGCTAAGACCCAGAAATATTAAGTGAGTTGGCCCAAGCCACATAACTAGTTAATAAGAAGTAGATCAGAGCCAGACAACTCTTGCTATGATTCTTCTTCCACTTCTGGACCACCTTCATTACCTACACTTGCCTGTCCAGGTAACACTTTCTCTTAACACTCTTTCCACTGAGCATTCTTTTCTCTTCTCCCCTCATGCCCCCCCCCCCCAGTTAATATCCTGACTCTGTCCTGCTTTCTCTTTAGCACATGTTATTGACTTTATGGGTAAATCTCTTTATAGGTAAAGCCTCTTTTCAAAAATAGCTGTCTCTGTGGACCGAGGGTGTGGCACATCTGGGAAGAGAGTCCAGTCATTCACAAGAGAAAGCTGGAAGGAGGGTCAGCAGCAACTCTTGTGACCTAAGATGTCTGTTATATCAGCAGACAGAGGATAGGAAGCAAATAATGATCAGTTCTATCTAATAAATAGAAGGGTGCCACCAAGGTGCTCACTCAGTTTCCTCATCTGTAAAATATTTTACCTACCTCACAGGGTTGTTTTGAAGAAAGTGGTTTTATAAATCTAAGTAGTTATTATGGTAATTTTGAAGGTTAGAGGAAGCAGGATGTGGAGGAGAAATATGGAATTGGGAAAGGTGTGGGTTCCAACTCTACTTCCCAAACTTAATTATGGGACTATAGACAAGTCAGTTCTGTGCAGTTTCTTAATCTGTAAAATGTAAAATAATCATAGTAATGCTAAAATTGGATAACATATTGATAGTGCCCTACCAGCTTTAAAACCCTGTATAAACAAATGTCTGTTGCTTCTGTTATTGAGAAACAGCGTAGCTTTGGAGGCTGAAAGAACTGGATTCAAATCCTAACTTTTACGCATTCTAACCGTGTGACCATGGCCAAGTCACTTAATCTGTCTGTATCCCAGGCAACTCAATAAGACTATAAATTAGAGATAAGTTGACTATCTGAATCAAGAGAGGGAGTTTTTACTTTGGGAACTCTCTTCCCTGATAAATTCACAGATCTTAACAGAAAGAACTTGACTTAATATTATTATTATTGCTACTAGTAGACCTCTTCTCAGTCTCTTTTGCTGTATCTTTATCCAAATCATGCCCTCTAACCATAGGTGTCTCTCAGGATTCTATCCTGGGCCCTCTTCTCTCCCTCTATACTATTTCACTTGGTGTCTCATCAGCTCCCATGGATTCAATTATTATCTCTATACTGATAATTCTCAAATCTACCTTTCCTGCTCTAACCTCTCTACTGATCTCCAGTTTTGCTTCTCCAGCTGCATTTCAGACATCTTGAATTGGATGTGTAGTTGACATCTTAAACTCAACATGTCCAAAACAGAAATCTTTCTTTTATCCTCTAAATCATACCTCCCATCACCTTTCCTGTTGCTGTCAAGGGTAGCACTATCCTCCTAGTCCCTCAGGCTTGCAACCTAGGAGTTATCCTGGATTCCTCACTTTCTCTCACCCTCCATATCCAACCTGTTGCCAAGGCCTACTGATTTCACCTTTGCAACATCTCTCAAATATACCCCCTTCTCTCTTCTGACACTGCCACCCTCCTGGTGCAGGACCTCATCAGATTACATTGGTAATATTACAGTAGCCTGCTGGTTGGTCTGCTTTCCCCAAGTCTGTCCCTACTCCAGTCTATCCTCCATTCGGCCACCAAAATGATGTTCCTAAAGCATAGATCTAACTCCCTCTACAGTAAACTCCAATGGCTTTCTAATGCCTCCAGGCTCCTATTTGGCATTCATAACCCTTCATAACCTAGCTCCCTCCTACCTTTCCAGTTTTCTTACACCTTATTCCCTAACATGTACTTTTTGATTCAGTGACACTGGCCTGACTGTTCCACAAACAAGATACTCCATCTCTTGGCTCTGGGAGTTTTTTCTGGCTGTCCTCCACACTTAGAATGTTATCCCTCCCCTGTTCTGACTACTGACCTCATTGGCTTCCTTTAAATCCTAATTAAAATCTCACCTTATACAGAAAGCCTTCCCCAACCCATCTTGATTCTATTGCCTTCCCTCTTTTAATAATTTCCTATTTCTCCTGTAGATAGCTTTGGATGTATTTGTTTGCACATTGTCTCCCCCATTTTATTGTGAGCTCCTCATGGACAGGGACTGTCTTTTCACCTCTTTATGTGTCCCCAGTGTTTAACACAGTGCCTGGCACATAGTAGGTATTTAATACATGTTTACTGACTGACAGACAATATGTTAATTCTCCTTCCTATCTTTGTATCATCTGTAAATCTGAAAAGCATGACATCAGTGTCTCCATATGTCACTGATAAAAAATAAATGTTTTTTGACTAACCGATTATTATGCTTAGTCTTGAGAAGAGAGATTGTAGGGGCAAATGTGACAGCCTAAGGCCCCTGTAGAAGTCTCTTATACTCTTATTCCTCTGTGTGTGTCTGTTGCTTCTCTGTTCCCCCCTTTTTTTATATTCAACTTCATCTTACTCCCTTTAAATTTACAGCCTTCACGTTATTATACCATAAATAATTTTGGCACCAAAGAAAATTTGTGTTGTGACGTCAGTACTTCCTGACTTCTGAGTCCTAGATCTGAAACACTGGACTAAGTCTCAGGAAATCCCAGTTTCTAATTCTGTCTTTTTCCTTTGTGACCTTGGGCTCAGCCCCATCCATGAAATATAAAATCACTAGCTTAGAAAGGAAATGTACTAAACACTGACCAGGTTGAAAAATAAATCATCTATTTTTTTAAGTGAGCTGAGAAAAATCCTTTTGAAAGGGTTATTGAAAGTAAAGGTCATGATTTTAGAATTGCTTTTTTTGGTGTCCAGAAGCCACAAACTAGGAGAAGCAAGTTTGGCTGAGCAGCAGAGGAGTGACAGGTTCAGATTTAGAATTATGGTAAAGCTAAAAGTGTCTGTGGTCTCCTGCAAGATTTCTTCACAAGAGCTTTGCTCTGTGGATTATAAACGTAAGATGATTATGTGGCTATCAAGCCTATGCTCTTGGCACACAGGAGAATTAAACTTGTTGGTGGGATTTGTAATTAGGTAATATAATGCATCTCTCAACCACAGGGTAAATGAAAGCTAAAGGTAAGGCAGGAGAACATGAAGCTATCTAGAAATGTGAGTAGAGAAAAGAAAGAACAGGCAGTAAATATCCACTCTCCTTCCTATCTTATCTTTACCTCTTTCCAAGAGAATTTGGATCTTGTGATAGTCCAAGTAGGACCATTTCATTTTTTTTTTAAATAACACCTTTTTAGACAATTCCCTGTTCACTCCCTAAGATTTGAGTCCATGCCTTGTCTACTCTGGATCATCAGGTGTCTCTCATCTCTCTTTTGAGTTATTTTGGTTTTGAGGGAAAAGGGAATGACAGAACTACCTCAGAGGCAGTGAATTCTCACAATGCTTAAATTCACAAGTGCTGACTCACATACCTGTCTTTGTTCACTATAGTTAAAGGTTGCAACTTGAGCTTCTTTGGACAGGTAATGCTTGCTTAGAGGACCCAGGTCTATCTCCATCCATGTCTCACATAAGTAAAAGATGAGCACACCACTTATATAATAGATGGTAAAGCAGGCTTCTCAACTATCTTTCAGAATTCTGAAGTTAACACTTTCCCTTTCCTATCTCCCCTATGTTCCTGTCTTCAGAAAAGAATCTCAAACTTTGCACATATATATGTGTATGTAATTGGCACAAGTGTAGACATTTGCATATTTATTGGTAGGCAGAAGCTGTCCAACTGAGAATGAGCAGATAAACCCTACCCAAAATTAAGGAATCATTTAAGGCTGGTAGAAAAAAAAAATTGGACACTTGGAAAAAGGGTTTAGAGCAGGGGTGAGGCATCTATGGCCTTGAGGCTATGTATGGCTTTCTAGATCCTTGGGTACAGCCTTTTGACTAAATCCAAGTTTTACAGAGCAGATCCTTTTATTCAGGGAGATTTGTTCTGTGAAGTTTGAATTCAGTCAAAGAATCACACTTGAGGACCCAGAGGGCAACATGTGGCCTGTGAAGCCACAGGTTCCCTACCACGGTTTTAGAGTAATGGAAATGCCAAATTATGTCTAACTTGAAGGTAAACTTTTTTGTGAACCTTGATGACTTTGAAAGATAGAGAAGCATTCATGGGTGGTGTGGTGGGTTGTTTTTTGTTTTGTTTTGTTTTTTTATCCTTAGCTTTTTTCCTTCCAGAACAGAATTTTGTTTTGAGGGCAAATCATTTTGGTGGAATAAGACTGACTTTTTTAAAGGAATATCCTGAAGTGTTAGAGAAGGGGAGAAAACAGTGTTGAAAAAAATCGATTCATTTTTTGCTCCTTGGATGTGAATGTAAGTGGTTGTTGGTCAAGGGGTCAAAGATTTAGAACTGGAAGGGATGTCCAGGTCATCTAGGCTAAAGATTTTCCTGTTATATAACTTAGAAAGGATAAAATTTCTTTGGGATCCAGAATTTAATCTGATACTAGTAGACTAAGTAAGTTTGTCTTGGAAGTGTTTATACAGAAGGATACTGAATTGCCCTTGTATTATATCCCTAGAAATATGACATAATAGAACAAGCTTTAGACTTGGGTCGGGAAATCTTAGTTGAAATCCTTGCCCTGACATTTCGTAAGTTTTTGACAATGGGCAAATCATTTAGTATCTCTGAATCTATTTCCAACCTCT